AAGTGGTACAATTCTTCCCTCTTCTCCAAATGAATTTGTCTTAAAGTGCAGGGTGAAACAGAGGAAATGTATAAATAAAGTATTACATGGCAATTTTACACGGTGATACTTGCACATACTGCTCATGTCTATTCCCTTCAGTTCTCTCTGTTTGGTCACAGGACTGACTGCAAAATCATTTAGACCTCCTTTAAGAGAGAGATTTTAGGGATGTAACTACATTTAGAGACATTTAAGAGACATATAACATGTGTTTAAGCATTATAAGCAATACTGCAGATGGACTAAGTATTTTTATCCAGTACTGATGATAAGTCACTATCACAAAACTCAAAATGCAATTATTTTGAAAAGAAATGGAAGGCAAGTAGAGAAGGGGGAAGAGGGACTCAACACAGAATTAGAGATGCTGGCAAAACATCTGAAATGTCTGCACAAGGCAAAATGTTTATTTTAAAGATGAGAGGGTCTGGCTTAAATGCCCAACTTGCACTTTCGTTTACATGAATGAAAAGAAAGCAAATATGAGGGATAAGTGGTAAACGCTGCCTGATAGATCACAAGCCAATTCCACCAACACTATGCTTCCAAGATGAGGATAAACTGGCTACTAATGTTTAGGGCCACAAGAGCTAAGGCTCTGAGAGTGAGAAAATACCTTCTTGTAACTGATACGCCATCTGAATCATGAGCAACACCACAGTGACCAAAACAATTAGAAAAGGGTTAATTCTGTTTATGCAAGTGTCTAGCTCTTTGAAACAGCGACTCACATTTACTTCAGAAAACATAATTTTAAGACAGAAGGCTTGAAAGATAAGACACTAGAACTAACTGTGTCTCAGAGGTCTCTATCATGGTGCCTACAAATATCCTCTTGCAGCAAGGAGCTCATTAAGCACCAGATTTCCACTTCTACAGTAAAAGCTGTAGTGGGATTTCTAACCCGTTGCAACAGGAGTAAGTATTTTTAAATCTATGTTTCTTTCTGGGTAAAAAAATAAAGCACTTGGCATCATGCCTGAAGCCAATCAATCATAGTGAGGTAGAATGGGATAAAGGAGAGCTGTCTTGACTCATTTATTTATTTGTTTTTAAGCCTATTTAAGCCTTCAGTTCCTTCTCTGGCTACAAGACTCAAACTCCATCACATAAGCCCTTTTGTTCCAATTCAGGGCATCTTTTGAACTGATGATGCCCTTAAACCTTAGAAGTTGCACCAACTACTATACAAAAATGAAGTATTAGTTTTTGTATCAGTTATCCCATTAGTGAATGTGACAGAACAAACAAAACTGACCTAAATCCAACTTTTGCCTACCACAGCTTTCAGATATATCCTTAGACTTCCCAAAGCACAATACATCTCTCAGCTCTCTCTGAATACAGAGTATCATCAATGCCAGATTTTCTCCAGTGCTGCCTGGGGTAAGGAAGAGCAATTCTGTTGGCTTTGATGCTCAGGTCACTCCTGTCCCTTCCAGCTTAGCTCTGTGAAGTCGGATTCTTTCTTTTTTAGGTCTGAAAATTCCTCAAATTAATTCACCTCCAGTTCCGCATATTGTAAATAATGTAAAATAAAAGAATGAGACTACAGGCTATTAGACTAAAACCATAACTGGAAGAAGGGACTTTGTTACCAATGTAGAGCTCCTAGAGAATATAGCTGTATTAATTAATTAATTTGCAATCATGAAGAAAAGCAATTACTTTTCTCAAGCACAAAGTAACTCCTGAAGTGCAGTATTAACCTTCAAAAACCAGAACGGTGATCCTTTGTACATTTTGTTTAAATCTTTTCCTCCACCACTTGAAGTGCTCATACTGTCAAGATTTTCCCAACATGCGACTAAATTATGCCTCTTGTTTTCAGCTACTGACTTAATATCTGTGTTTCAGTTTCCACCAGGTTCATCCTCTTCAAGTTTACAAAAAAGTGCACAGACATAAGGCAAAAATTTTCACGTTTCTTAAGTCAGCTTCTCTTGCTAACTCTTCTCTTGTTACTTTCTGGTATCTCCTTCTATGAAGGAAGATCTTGTTAGTTCTCATGTTGTCCTGTCTGCGTATTATGATCTGCTTTTTACAACTCATAGCATGGTTGAGGTGGGAGGGGAGCTCTGGAGGCCACCTGGTCCAATCCTCATGCTCAAGCAGGGCCATCTACAGTCAGCTGCCCAGGACCATGTCTGGACAGCTTCTAAGTATCTTGAAGGACGGAGACTCCACAGCCTCTGTGGGCAATCTGTGCCAGTGCTTGGTCACTTTCACAATGAAAAAGTGTTTCCTGATGATCAGACAGCAACCTCCTGCGTTTCAGTTTGTGCTCACTGCCTCTGGGCACCACTGAAAAGAGCCTGGTTCCATCCTCTTTGCACCCTCTCTTCAGGTATTTATGTACTTATACACATTGATGAGATTCCCCCCAGCCTGCTCTTCTCCAGGCTGAACAGCCCCAGCTGTCACAGCCTCTCCTCATGGGGGAGACGCTCTGGAGCCTTCATCATCTTTGTGACTCTTCACTGGACTCTCTCCACTATGTCCATGTCTCCATTAAACTGAGGAGCCCAGGCTCAGACGCAGTACTCCAGATACGAAATACATGGGATGCACTTCAGGACCATACTTTCCTCATCCTCCTTCTTGAGCTTAACTGTCATTTCCAATGCACTTCAGGACCATACTTTCCTCATCCTCTTTCTTGAGCTTGCCTGTCATTTCCGTCCTGCACTCCTCCAATTTTCACCTGCATTTCCTTGGACGTATTGTGACCATTAATTTTAGCATATCCTTGTTTTGATGAAAAAAAAGATGGCAAAACTATTTCCTTTTTCTTCAGATCTGTGTTTCTACTTGCATTTCTGACTGTTGAGTATTTCTCAGCAGAGGTACTTGGCTTAGGAATAAGTTTTAAATTATTTTACTGGTTTTAAATCATGTGACCTACTCCTTATCAAAAAAATCCTCAAAGCTATGATACTACTTAAGAGTAGCTCTCCTTAACTTTTAGCTTTAAACACTGTTCCATTTCAACTTCTGCTGTCAGCTGCATCTCATACCCAGTTAGCAAACATTGCTGCTCACCTCATGCTCTGGCGAGAGATGTTCCATGTCAGTCCGTAAACACTTAAGTCCTGGTAAAAAGTGATTGACCATTAAATCCTCTGAAATAACTAAAAACCAGGTTGTTAAGGTATTATAGGGATTGTGTTCTGAAATTATACAATTTTATTCTACCGAACACAGGGACAAGCTATAGCAGCAAAACCCAAGAAAACAGCAGCGTTTGCCACTTTGGGACTAATAAAAAAGAAAAAAGGTCTTAAACGTATTTACCTTCACGTATTTCATACATGCATATCATTCTTCACCTTTTTTTTTTCTAACTTACTGGTTAAGATCAAGGGTTTTGGTTTTGCATTGTTGTTTTTGTTTTTAAGTATTTATTCAAGTTCCATCTTCTGTGAAAACCTATTCTTTATACCGAGTAGGTCGTATTTTACATCACACATGCAAAGAAAAACTTAGTTCTTTCTCCCTCCCACCAGAGAATTAACAGCTGAACTTCCCATAAAAAAAGGATACAGCAACAGGACAGAGCGCTGTAGGCTTCAAACAGGTGTGTGGCAATATCCAGTCTCTTGGAATCCACAGACTGCTGGTTGTTGACCAAGGCTAACTTGTGCAAGTGTGGAATAACAACTGCAAAAGTAAATACCAGAGTTAAGTGTTTGAAATCGCTTTCCATAGCAACTGCTTAATGCTAAGCAAGTCTGAGTGGCAACTGCAGGCATCTGAAGCACCACACATCAGTGTGGACAAAGAATTGCAAATAATGGCTTTTGACCGTGACCGCTCTCACCACCACCTGAAATAAAAAGGTACCTCAGAGTAGTCTTGAAATAGTAACAGTTCACAGAAAATATCTTGGAACAGAGTTAGTCTTCTGCTGCTACAGCTGTCAAAAATGTGCTTCTGTTTTATAAATACAGCTGATAAGCTAGTGACAGAGAGATGGATGTCCTGAGAAATCTTTCCTGACCGTAGAGGCAGCCTATCTAACGAGTTTAGCTTGCTAAACCAGACATATGCAGCTGGGGGCATGACAGCTCCCATGCTTTGTTTACAAGCATCTTCAAGACAGTCTAACAATTGACCTTGCTCTTCTATGTGCTTTACGTTTCAGGGTCATGAAAAAAAGCTGTTTCGTTAATTTGGGATGCACTTACATTTAAGATGTGTGGAATACTTGAAATTTATACGCCAACAGGGGGTGAAGCAATGGGGGATGGAGGGAGAGGAAGGCATTTTACGTGTCAAGTAATTAAAAAAAAAGATAACTTCAAATGTGATCTGCAGCAAAGTGACCAGTCCCCTCTGGCTCTGAAATCATTCATCATCACATGCTGGTGTTCTATATACACACCAATGTTAGGTAAAATGAAAATTATATCAGCAAAGTCTTAAATAATGGGACATATCAAACTCTGAAAACAAAGAGTTTTCATCAACTGTTTTGTAAAGGAAAAAAAAAAAAATCAATATAACCAGCATAGTATTAGCTTTGGGTCAGAAAGAGGAAGACTGCATCTTCCCACTGAGGCAACTTACATTCATCTCTAAATCTGGGCTCAGCATTAGGTCCAACTCTTCCAAATGTTTTTATGATTTCTGTATGTAGAGAATGTTGGTCTTGATATTGAGGGTCCTCCAGGAAAGACGCCAGCTGCATTTTTACTCTTTCCAGAAGCTTAAACGTTGCCAGAGAAATAAAAAATACACAAAAGAATGAAGATGCTAGAAAATATTCAGAGTATGTCTATAATCTTCCATATTTTAAACTCTGGACCCTCTGTTAATTTCCATTTTTTCTTCTGACAGGATGTTCCAAACTCTTTGATGCAGCTCTACATATTAAAGACTGGTAACAGTGTTTTAATCAGATCTTTAACTAAAGACAGGTGCTTCCATATAGCCAGTCTTTCCTCCCAAGGCTTCCCTGGTTTTGATACTCACATTTTTTTTCCTGCTATTAAAATTTCCCTCTTACTACTAGTGTCTTTGAAGCTTTCCTGTTTAATTAGAACTGAATTCATGGTTGGTTTTTTTTTTTTTGTAATATATCTCAATTAGTATGGTGAAAATTTTCTCCAGAAGACAGATGCAAAAGTAACCATCATAAAATCAATGTTATTAAAAAGCTTTCCTCAACTAAAGGCTAGAAAAATGGAAAATACAAACACATCTAAGATGACAGAAGTATTAAATTTGCATTCGAAGTTGTAAAAATAACATTTCCTGATACATTTTGGAAGGTGATATCACCTCTGTACTGTAAAGCTTATTATAATTAGTGCAATGGATACAGTAATTTTTGTGTGGTAAAAACCCAGTATTCTTCCCAAACTGATTACAGGCATGCATTCCAAGCTACAAAATTGTAACTTATCCATCTTCCAAGTACTTGTGAGTCATCACTGACTTCTTACTCACATTTCCTCAAACACATTCTTTTAGATTATGTCGAAATTACAGGAAGAATGCAAGCTCTGCAAAAAGTTGCAAGGACTTCAAGAAGAAATTTGATTGTACAGTTATATAAAACAAAATACAGTATTTCTACTGCTTCCAGCAGAATCCTGGGTGTCTTTTTCAGAATTCTGATCTATGACCAAAGTTTCACCATTTAAAAACCGAGTAGGAATTGCATATCTATAGTACCCTGAAGGATTATTTCAGTTATGTCACTATGATGTCTTTTAATGTCGCCTTGACACCACGGGCTAAACCAGCAGATACAACAGGAACTACAGGAGACTTGTACCCTTCTAAAGGAGTTGGAAGCCAAGCAGGATATACTAAAGCACGTAAAATGGTACAATATACTTATGTGGAGATGGCTGAATCCCACCATGACTTTTTGGCCAGCATTTTAAAAGTAAAGATCTTTTACTTGAAAACAATGGACTTGGATTTCTGAACTGTATTGGAGAATGTTTCAAAAAACATTTTGAGCATAGGATTTCCCATCTTCTATGGGAAAGGCCTCTCTTTCTACATACCTGTTTTTCTTTATGTTTGGTTTGATATTTAGAAGTAAATGTTTTTATTAGTTAAAAGAAGGTTCGTTTGTTTAAAAAAAAACCCAAACCAACAACCCAAAGAAATCCAAACCAAAGCATTTTGGAAGAGATGATATAACAAAGGAAGAAATAATTTATATGCTGCATTTTTTCTTTTTCCCTCCAAGTTCGTTAATAAATTACTGGATTTCTGGATTTATAATACATCACCCACTTCTTATGCTACAAAAAACAACAGCCTGACTACTACCGGTGTCTTACCTCTCTCTGGGTAACAGTTTCCATTATGGTCCCAAAAGCAGGAATTGTTGCAATCCTTACTGAACTACAACAGAAAAATAGAGCCTTTAAGATGTATTAAACATTAAGAATAAAAATAATTAAAAATGAAGCAAAATTTAAAAAAAAAATAGTACTTTAAGTTACATTAGTTTCTAGCAATGACAAAACAAAAAAAGCAGACCAGGAAAAAGACAGACAGGATTAACTCAAGGTCTCAATCTGAAACTCACAATTCGGGATCACTGGACAAGGTAACAAGGGCCGGAGCAACCCGCTTGTCAACTAAGGCTTCACGCATGCCGCGAAGAGTCAGCTGTAAACCAGTCAACATGCAATAAAAAACGGTTTGGTGAACTTGGAGAACTGGGTTAGCTGTGACTGAGGATGGGCAGGTAGACTCTTGGGGTTTTTCTTGGTTTAGTCACCCATACAAGACATGAAAATGGTTAAGACTACTCATGCTGGAGCATTTATTAGTAACAACCTGTTGGTGAGATTAGCAAAGCATCCCTCCTTAGCTTGAAAGAAATATCACATCAGAACGTCCAGGAGATGAAGCACTACAGTTGTCTATCAGAAATTGGATGCAGCCAAAACTGTTCTGCATTTCAGTAATGCAGATGATATTTAATGCTGCAGGAGCAAAGCTGACAGCATGACAGAACATATTAATATCCAGCTTCCTGCTAGAAATGATGTAAGCCAATTTCAAAATTGAGAATATGATTAAATAGAAAAACCCACGAAAACTAAATGACATTGATTAAAGTTTTCTACTTAAAGTTTATTCAGTACTTTCATACAGTTTAGTTCCAGGTGTTGCAGTAAACCTTTTTATCTACAAATAAGTGATTTAAAAATGACATTTGTTTAAAAGCAGTTCAGTTTTCGTTCAGCTAGAATAAGAAACAGAACTGATGGTTATTTCTTCCTAAGTATTAAGAGGGATGCTGAGTACATAAGACAGTTGGGAAACTTACATTTCAGGGTCACTGGAGAGAGTAATGAGAGCAGGAACAACTCTCTGAGCTACCAGAGTTTCATGTACCCCCTTCACCAACAGCTGAATGGTCGGAGCAGGGGGTGTCACAGGTGGCGCACGGAAAGAGCGAGCACAGTACCATGGGAAGAAGAACGGCACAACCAAGAGAGAGAGAGAAAAAAACACAAAAAGCAAACCAAAATTAGAAGCTAAGCAAATACTGCTACACTAGTGCTTCATATATGCAAAGGCAAGAAGAAAGCTGAAGTGCTCTGGCAACTAACACAAACCTGGCAAATTCAACAATATGATGACGTTAGCTCTGTTTTCAGCTATTTTAAAACATGAACTCTCAAAATTTTAGCAAGTAATTATGTATTTTAACTCAAATACTAATATAATTATGTATTATAATTATACACGTAATGATGCATCATTAAATCCAAAAGTGATGGCAATTTGAGTTTGAAAGTTTAATCTAAATGCTGGTCCTAAATCAAGGGAATGGTACGTTTTATAGCAGGGGGCTGTCACATGCAAACCAGATGTCTTTAGGCCAGGCCAAATGCAGTTTTCCTGCACCGAGTGATACCTTTTGGAATTTTCAGTGTGACAAACAGCACCTTCCCAGATGCCACTAAGCTTTCCTCAAAGTCTTTCAGGACTATTTTAGATTTAACTGCCAGCCAAGCCGTCGGTATGCGAACCATCCCAAGTTTCCCTTGCTGGTCTATGCAGGTAGAGAATGGAGAATCCTTGGATTCTCCATGAAATGTATTTCATCAAGTCTTTTTGCAAAGTGAAGAAGAGAGCTATTTGTTGCAATATATCCCAAATGTTAAAAATTGAGATCACTGTGAAATTTATTACCCATAAATATGTCAAAATTGTTTGAATTCAGATGCTCCCAGGTTGGTTTTTTTACGTTACTTACGTAGCTATACATAAGCATATATTTGCTGTATATGTAGCAGATGCCCTTTACATGTTTTCTACATATGAAAACCTACTAATTTTCAAAAATTAAAAGTTCCAAACTTTCTCCATATTAGCAAAAGAGTGGGTTTTTTTGTCTGCATTAATAAACAAGGGAAAGCTTTGCTATTTCCATTTTTTATCCCATATAAGGAAGCCTGCATATATTTGCTGGTCTTAGGAGATAAACTTAAAAAGCTTATTTCTGTGAGAAATTTGAAATGCCTTTTTAATATTTAGCTATATTCTAATTACTCAAATTACATCTGTCAGTATATCACACGGTACTAAAAGCAGGCAATATTTACACCCTCTCATTAGAGAAAGTT